TATATATATATATATTATAAAGTTACTGACCAAATGACCAGAATCTGCAACTATACAAGAATGTCAAAGAGACTCACACTGGGTTGCTGGAAATATCTAAAGAATTGTTTCCAATCCGAATCTCGGCCCCGTTAATCCTGGTGCTACAGCAGTCGAGTCTGTTAGTGATGGTCACTTTGTTCACGCTGTACGTCTTCATCAGGTCCAGCTTCCACCACGGGTCACTCTGTGTATCTGTATGAGTACAGATGGAGCTCAACCCATCCAGAGCGTTTTGGGCATACCAGTTGTAAGCTAATGTCGACTGAACAGGTGTGCCCCATGTTGCTATGTTCACTGAAATATTTTTAATGGAAAAAATTACTTCCAATCACAATTATTTATTTATATTCTGACTAGAATTTATATAAAGAACAAATATAAAGACAATTATAAGTTTCTGTGAAGCTGCTTTGAAATAACGAGTACTGTAAAAAGCGTTCAAAAGTTGGGGTCACTAAAAATTGATTCATTTATTCAGGAAGGATGCATTAAATTGATCCAAAATGATAGTAATTACATACATAATGTAACAAAAATGTATATTTCATATAAATGCTGTTCTTTTGAGCTTTCTATTCATCGAAGAATAGAAAGAATCTTGAGCATCAAATCAGCATAATGATTTACGAAAGATCACGTGACACTGAACACTGAACAACGATGCTGAAAATCCAGGTTTGAATCACAAGAATACCTTACATTTTACAATATATTACCATTGAAAATAGTGATTTTAAATAACAATTTAGTGATCTTTTAATCAAATATACTGTATGCAGCATTGATGAACAAAAGATAAAATATTTTTTACTAAGGTTTTGAAAGGTGATGTATATGAGACAAATGCTTGGAGAGAAGCGGGAAATATTTACTGTGGATTTTTTCCCCCCAGCTTATTTATGTTTGGTCCCTCTTCTCAATCTCTCACTCTAAGTTGCGCTCTTTTTGTCTTTTGTACTTTCATTGACTGTTGCTCATTGCTGCTTTCTTGCAGATTTCAAAGGTTTGTGAGAGAAATTCACAGTCAATAATCTTGAGTCACTGAGATGTTGTTAGGAGGGTTGATCTTCAATATTGCATGAACACTTTCGGATGGTTATCAGTCAACATCTGCAGGACTCAATCTGCATGATTTTTGCCTTTGCCTCAATTTTACATCATGCTGCACAGTAGCAAACCTTTTTGAGATTTCTCTGTCGACTTGGATGGAAAGATTCGAACAGCAGCCAGTTTTAGTTTAGCATTTCAGGAATAGTATTGTAATTTTTCAAACTTCCATCAATCATACTTCGTAAAATAAATAATAAACCGTAATTTGTCCTGCCGGGCTATTTAAGTTTATGAGATTTCACCATGTTTCTGTAATATTTACATTGCAGAGCCTGGAAAATGTTTAAAAGCAGCACAAACTCACTGACAAAAGCTGTAATAGTGTTTAATTGACAAAGTCTCACCTTCTCTTCCTGCCTTCGTTTGAACTGAGAAAAACCCTTGAAATGAGAAACAGAATGATGCTCAGTATTTAGAAATTTAAATGGATTTTTCTTATGACTAGAAACTTACATTCCCTTTCAGTCAGTCACGTTCGATGTTACGTCGACTGACGTTGGGGGTCTCACTCAGGAGCCCCAATCACCTCTGAGCTTTAGAAGAAAAGGCCAATGATAATTGGCGAGTGGAATTTGCATGCCAAGCCACTCCCCCGTACATACGGGTATATAAGATGGTGGCGTGCATCCACTCATTCAGATTTTTGCTTTGGAGCGAATCGCATCGTGAGCACTGCTTTCTAAAAGAAGAAAAGGAATCTTCACTATCTACATGCTGCAGGAGTTCTCGGCTGCGGAGAATCTTCCTTCTCTTGCATTTCAGCGGAGAGATCACCCCGTTGCGCACAGATAAGTGCCGCCGTCCTTCCCTGGACAAACCAGCCTAAACGAGCAATTTCCTACAGCAAGCACAGTTGTTGGGATGTCTTTCCGACTATGTGCTTCTTGGTGTGGTAGTTTCCTTACCTCTGACAATGGTCACAATCGCTGTCTCACCTGTCTGGGCCGTAAGCATGCTGAGACGGCGTTCGTGGATGTCTCATGCCCACATTGTGAGCGCATGTCCATGGCTACGCTAAGATTGCGGCTCTCATTCATAATGAGGGTTCCCTTGGGCTCTACCCAGCCCAGTCTGTCGGCTCGTAAAGACTCTGCGGCTGCATTGATTAGGGACAAGAGTAACCTGAGGATCACTGCTCAGTCAGAGTCCGAGGCTGAGTTCACGGCCATGCTCCTCCGGGGCCGGCCAAGAGCATCGGACTGGAGGTGAATTCTCAACCTTCTCCCAAGCACTGGAGGCTCGACGATTGGTATCCTGGCTCCGGACGTGAATCCCAGCCACGTTCTTCCCAAGTGCCTTTCTTCCCGGAGGTTCATGAAGAGCTCACCAAAACATGGATAGCCCCGTACACCGCCCGATCACGTTTGAGCTCTTCCCTCCTCACTACCCTCGATGGTGTGATGGCCAGGGGGTACGTTTATGTTCCCCATGTGGAGCGTGCGGTTGCGGTGCACTTGTGCCCGCAAAATGTTGCCACCTGGAGGAACCGTCTGTACCTCCCGTCCAAAGCCTGTAAGCTGTCGTCAGCACTGGCTGCCAAGACTTACAGCGCTGCAGGCCAGTCCGCCTCCACCCTGCACGCCATGGCCCTCCTGCAGGTTCACCAGGCCAAGGCACTGAAAAAGCTGCACGAGGGTAGTCCTGACTCGGGGTTGATGCAGGAACTGTGTACGGCGACCGACTTTGCTCTCTGAGCGATGAAGGTCACGGCGCGCTCCCTCGGTCAGATGATGTCCACTATGGTGGTCCAGGAGCGCCATCTCTGGCTGAACCTGGCGCAGATGTGTGATGCTGACAAAGTTCGCTTTCTCTACGCCCCCCTCTCCCAGACCGGCCTCTTCGGCGACACTGTCGAGGACTTTGCCCAGCAGTTCTCGGCAGTCCAGAAGCAGACAGAGGCCATCAAGCACATCTTGCCCCAGCGTGATTCTTCGAAACCCAGGCTGCCGGGAGCCAGGTCTCAACACCTGCTCCGCCCCAGGAAACACCAAAGGAGTTAATCCCTCAACAGGGGCAGCGAGCTGGCCGCAGAAAGGGGGTGCAGCCTGCTTCTCAGGGTGCCACTAAGTCTTCTCAGAATACTGCGAAACATTCCTGAGACGGGCGACCCAGGGATGACAGGAACTGTTCTTTTGGGGACACCGACATCTGCGCTCCCACCCCCGGGGGAGAACCGGGGGCTTTTTCCACCACTGTCACTGCTGACCTCCGGGTCAGTGGTACCCACCTTCTAAGTAAAAGAGCAATTTCCCTAATCTCTGGGTCTATCGCGCCAGGTTCTGATTGTGAGCGACGCTCTGCTTCCTCACGCTCAGACTCAGGGCATGAATTCACCTCTCAACACTTTGAAGTTGCTGGACGCGCTGCTTCCTCGCACTCCACTGACTTCTCCGCGGGACTGGGAGGATCAGGTTAGTGCTGCTTTCAGCAGCTCATCTCTACTTCTTTCGCTTCCCGGGTTGAGCCACCTTCTTCCCACTGCTGCCCCACCGCGGGTACATTGATAACCACTCTGTTGATTCTGCTTGTACAGAGGCTAGGTGCATGGTTAGTGCTACCCAGTCCATCTTGCTGGCTTATCTGGACGGTCCGGCTCGGCTACGCTATTCAGTTCACCAGGCCCCCTTCCAGGTTCAGGGGCATTCTTTTTACATCTGTCCCAACAGACAATGATGCCTGTTTCCTGCATGCAGAGATTGCGGTCCTGTTGGCAAAGGACGCAATAAAACCTGTCCCTACAGCAGAGATGAATTTGGGATTCTACAGTCCTTATTTCATCGTACCCAAGAAGAGCGGTGGGTTACAGCCAATCCTGGATCTGCGAGTCTTGAGTCCCTACACAGGCTTCAGTTCAAGATGTTGACGCAGAAGCACATTCTTTCTTGCGTTCGACACCAGGATTGTTTTACAGCTATCGACCTGAAGGACGCATACTTTCATGTCTCAATTCTGCCTCAACACAGACTGTTTCTTCGGTTTGCCTTTGAGCTTATAAGTACAAAGCCCTCCCCTTTGGGCTGTCCCTGTCTCCCCACATTTTTTACTAAACTGGCAGAGGGTGCCCTGTCCCCACTTTGGGAGACGGGCATCCGGATCCTCATCTAGATGACTGGCTTAGATTAGCTCACTCGCGAGATCTGATATGTGAGCACAGGAATCTGGTGCTTCAGCACCTCAGCCATCTGGTGCTTCGAGGTCAACTGGGAGAAGAGCAAGCTCTCCCCTTTGCAGAGCATCTCTTTTCTCGGTGTGGAGCTGGATTTCGTCAAGATGACAGCACCTCTCACGAACGAGCGTGTGCAGTCAGTGCTGAACTGCCTGAATTTGTTCAGGGGCAAGACAGCGGTACCTCTAAAACTATTTCAGAGGCTCCTGGGGCATATGGCAGCCACAGCCGCAGTTACGCCGCTCGCCCTGTTACATATAAGACCGCTTCAGCATTGGTTCCATGGCCGGATCCCGAGATGGGAATGGCGCCGTGTCACTCTTCGGCTCGGCGTTACCCCGGGTTGTCACCGCCTCTTCAGTCCTTAGTCAGACCCTGCATTTCTACGGGCAGGAGTGCCCTTAGAACAGGTGTCGAGACATGTTGTTGTCACCACAGATGCCTCAAAGACGGGCTGGGGCGCCTTATGCAGCGGGCATGCAGTCTCAGGCTCCTGGACAGGACCTCGACTGCAGTGGCACATCAATTGCCGATGTTTTCGAGTTTGCTAGCAGTGCTGCTTTCTCTTCGACAGTTTCAACCGTTGCTGCAGGGCAAGCATGTACTTGTCCGGACGGACAACACAGCGACGGTGGCGTATATCAACCACTAGGGTGGTGTACACTCCCGTTGCATGTCGCAACTCGCCCACCATCTCCTCCTCTGGAGTCAGACGCAGCTCAAATCGCTGCACGTTGCATGTTCTGTGAGAGCTCAATTGTGCAGTCGATGCGCTCTCACGACAGCTTGGTTGGTTGCGCCATTCTGGCCCACCCGGACCAGGTTTGCCGACCTCATGCTTCTCGCGACAACCCCTCCCTGGAGGATTCCCCTGAGGAAGGACCTTCGTTCTCAGGGGATGGGCACGATCTGGCACCCGGCGACCCAATCTATGGAACCTGCATGTCTGGCTTCTGGACAGGACGTGGTAGACCTCTCTGGCCTTTCTCAGGCTGTGATAGATACTATCACTCAAGCTAGAGCCCCCTCTATGAGGCAGGCCTATGCTTTGAAGTGGGGTCTATTCGTTGAGTGGTGTTCCTCCTGCCGAGAGGACCCTCAGAGATGCTCGGTTGGTGCGGTGCTTTCCTTTCTGCAGGAAAAGCTGGAGCGGAGGCTGTCCCCCTCCACTTTGAAGGTGTATGTCGCTGCCATTGTGGCTCACCACGATGCAGTGGATGGTTCGTCTCTGGAGAAGCATCACCTAATCGTCAGGTTCCTGAGAGGTGCGAGGAGACTAAATCCTCCTGGGTCGCACTTCATCCCCTCTTGGGATCTCTTCGTGGTTCTCTTGGGATTATGGAGGGACCCCTTTGAGCCGCTTGATTCAGTTGAGCTAAAACATCTGTCTCTCAAGACTTCGCTCCTGATTGCGCTCACTTCCATCAAGAGGGTGGGGGACCTGCAGGCATTCTCGGTCAACAAATCGTACTTTGAGTTTGGGAGACCCCGGCCTGGTTATGTGCCCAAGGTTCCCACCACTCCCTTTCGAGACCAGGTGGTGAGCCTGCAAGCGCTGCTCTCGGAGGAGGCAGACCCAGCCCTTGCGTTGCTGTGTCCTGTCCACGCCTTGCACATTTACGTGGAACGCACCCGGAGCTTCAGACGCTCCAAGCAGCTCTTTGTCTCCAAACTTTTGGGACAAAGAGTTTTTTCCAGTTGTTCCCTGCCGGTGAACTCTGGGTCCTCCGCTGCCTCCCAGTTGCAGACTTGGCATAGAAGTCTGTCACTGTGTCCGGTGGAGAGTTGCCTTCTTCTCTCCGGACCTGGCATTGATGTCTTCTGCCACGGTTGGATTCCACCGTGTCCCCTTGATTCCTTAATTCCCAAGTTGTTCACATGATTCTGTCATTGTGCTCCACCCCCCCTAACAGTTGCCGATAAAAACTCTGGCACCCCTGGTGGGCCCGCTTATCTGGCTTACAGGGCATTGGGAAGGTTACGATTTGAGATACATTTGTTCTGGCATGCTTGCCTCTCAGCATCTGCATCCTCAATTCACCCCCTTGATTCCTTAATTCCCAAGTTGTTCACATGATTCTGTCATTGTGCTCCACCCCCCCTAACAGTTGCCGATAAAAACTCTGGCACCCCTGGTGGGCCCGCTTATCTGTCTTACAGGGCATTGGGAAGGTTACGATTTGAGATACATTTGTTCTGGCACGCTTGCCTCTCAGCATCTGCATCCTCAATTCACGTGACACAGTTCGGGTTGTGGCGTCTTCCACAGGGACCCCTAACATCAGTTGACATAACGTCAAACGTGACTGACTGAAAGGGAACGTCTCGGTTACATATGTAACCCTTGTTCCCTGAAGGAGGGAACAGAGACGTTACATTTCTCATGCCACAACCTTGAACTTCGCTGAATGCTGGGTTATGTCTCGGCTCTGAAGCACAAACCTGAATGAGTGGATGCACGCCGCCATCTTATATACCCATATGTACGGTGGAGTGGCTTGGTATGCAAATTCCACTCGCCCATTCTCATTGGTCTTTTATCCTAAAGGTCAGAGGTGATTGGGGCTCCTGAGTGAGACCCCCAACGTCAGTCGACGTAACGTCTCCGTTCCCTCCTTCAGGGAACGAGGGTTACATACGTAACCGAGACGTTTTGTTAGATTTACACTTAGTTGGGTAAAATTCTACTGAACACCTAAAGGGACATGGTGGTGGGAAAAAAAGGGGGTTGGAGTTAAAAAAAATAAAATAAAAAATGTAAATGTTTGTGTTCTCTCGCAAAACCAGTTGAGTTCGGACAAACACTTACAGCTTACAATGGTTCTGTGCTTAAAGCACAGT